CAGTACTGGCGGCACATCTGTGGCACGGCTGCAGGGAGGAACGAACAAAATCCGCCCCCTCCCGCAAAAAAAATAGTTTGAAGCCTTAAAATATGGTTCAGAGAATTACAAGTAATCAGAGCTGCGGGGGTCAGCAGTGCAAACTTTTTAAGACTAATGTTTATTTAGAAAAGTGAGTGGTGTCTGCGTTGCTTTTCTAGTGCCCCAGCACAAAAGTCCTAATGGCTTTTGCAGACTTTCCATCACAAACTCCTGCACAGGGCGCGGGGACCACCGCCGAAAGCAACCCCGAGCCGCCCCCTTTCAAAGGGAGCATTGGCACAGGGTTTTAAGCCACCCCCCCGTCTTTCCATGAATCAGTGACGATATTTTCTGTACCACTTTTGCGCCGCTTTCGCGTTTGTTTGATGTAACCCGAACCCTCGATAATACTGGGGAGGCGAAATCGGGGGACGGGGACGGCGATATCCCCACCTCCCCAGCCCCGTTCAGCCCCGGACGGCTGCGGTCCTGAAAGCAACGCGGGGGTTCAGCCGAGCTGGAAACCTCGTTAGGAGGAACCCGGGGGCAGAGGCAGGAACCGGCGCCGGGCGGGCTGGCCGGTGTCCATCGCAGGCAAACCCATTCCCCCCCGTCTCACACCCTCCCCGTTGCCACCCTCCAGCCGCTCTCCCGGGAGCCTAGCCAACCACCAGTACCTGTGCAGTTTTGGGGGTCTCTGCTGACCCCACCCCAAAATTCGGGGAATATGACTGCCCTTGCAGAGACCCAAGTTTCCATCTCGGGATGCTCCTTTCGTTCCCAGGACTGGAGGAATAAACCCAGCAGCCCCCAAAATCTTGCATGCCTTTTGTGGCAGCCCCCCCGACTTTAAGCAGGAGGTGAATCCAGGGGAAACCCAGACCTGGGATCCCATTGGAAACCAGTGGCACCAGTGCTAGGTACCTCGTAGCAGGGCTGGGAGAGCTCAGCTGGGTTTAATTCCTGCCCACGTCACCCCCCTGCCCTTGACAGGTGGCAGGACCTGGGAGGGCTGAGCAGGACAGGGGGCTCTGCTCCCTTTCCAGCAAAGCACAGCAATTGCAGCCTGGATGCAGACTGCAACCAGCAGCAAACCCACCTCCTTCCCAGAGGCCCCAAGGGGAGGGCAGAGGTATCGGGGCTGCTCAGGAAAATGCCTGTGCTTACCCCCTCTCCCCAATCTGTGTGACAAACAGCCCTAGGAGCTTTCTATTTACTCTCTTTCTAAACACAGACCCTTTTACTAGCCATGAGCCCAGCCAGCAGAAGGTGGTGTGCTGCTAAAATCCTCCTGTTCCTGGCAAAGGTGAGACCAGATCTAACTCACCCCCCTAATCCGTGGGGCCTCACTGGCCACCCTGGGACACCCCAGCCCCTTTCCCATCCTCTGCTGGTCTCGGCAGGTTTGAGTGTGCCACAGCACGCCATGGACAGGGTTAGCCTGGCCATGCTGGGTGAGCAGATCTGTGGGGACTGCATCCCCCCGTGTGTCCCCAGGGGATCCCGCTCAGCAGAGCATCAGCTGGGAAAGGGCTGGGTGGTGGAGCCATGGGGAGCAGAGACCTGGAGAGAGCCCTATCTCTGGACTGGGGGGTACGAGGCTAGTGACCCCCCCCTCCCGTCTGTTGGGTCCCCAGTATGGATGCACTGGGGAGCCCCCGGCATGGCTGGGGTCAGCCCTGGGGTCTGACACCATTGTCCCCTCTCCCGTCATTAGGGTTCACAGCTCATCATCGGGGCGCCTGGGGAGGCTCTGCAGCAGGACAGTGCTCTCAGCAGTGGGATGTGCAGGAGAGAAACAGGGTGGGGGAGAGGAATGGGGTGGAAGGGGGAGAGAAAGGGGCTGGATCGTGCTCCCTTTCCAGCCAAGTGACTGCCTTGTCCTGCTCCCGGAAAGATGAGCTTGGTTTAACCCCTTCTTCGGTCTGTGTAGGGAAAAAACCTGTGTAGCTCAAACCCGAGAAGGCTGACCCAAGCAACGGCAGCTGAAGATGCCTCTGGAAACACACACACACCTGAGGCCTGATCCTGCCTTCCCCTGGCCAAGTCAATCTCAGGTGCTCAGCTCTGTCAGGTCCGGGTCCAGGGCTGAGGACGCAGCCGGTGCTGCAAGGCCGAGTGTGGTGGAGGGAGGACATCAGTGTTTATAAACTGCTTAAATGTGCCTGACACTTGAGGGAAGATCCTCTCCGCTCCCTTAAGGGCTTTCATTTGAAGGGCTTGACTCTGCCCTCCAAGAAGTTGATAAGACCTTCTGGCTCCCATTATCTCCCCAAGGGCCCTGTGTCGCCCTCCTCGCGGCATGCTGAAGCACTGAGATCACATCGCTGTAATTGCTTGGGGAATGGATGTCCCCCAGGCAGGACCTGGGGGGACCTCTCTTCAGGGTTTGGCCTCCTGGTGCAAAGCCAGGCTGTGGGAAGGGGCTGGGTGGCACCAGCCCTTTGCTATTCTGCATCCCTCCATCCCCCTTACAAAGAACAAATGCTGGGAACGCCGTTCAGCCCCAAATTGGGAACATTTGGGCTGAAATCTTTTGAATGCATTTGAAAAGGGGAGGCAGGGAGGGAGGGTGGGGAAAGGGACATGGGAAGGGGAAAGAGCTACAGCCTTGCTAGCACAAAGTTGATTCGTCTGGATTCTGTCCCTTGGTGCCTGTCATCCATCACTGTACCTGGGAGATGCTGCAAACCATGTGCAGATGAGGCTCAGCCATGCGAGAAGCATTCCCACATCAGGTATCGTGACACTGCACCCACCTTGCCTTGCCCCCCAACTTAAATCAAAGCTGTACTTCTCCCTGGCAGGGAAGGGGTGGGAATTTCAGCCAGCTCCTCCTGCACCTGTGTCCTGCTCCCCAGGACTTTGCTGGGGCAGAGAGGTGCGTGTGACAGTATGGGTGATGGTGGGTGATGGTGTGGGTGCCAATGGGTGGCCCAGGGAGGCCAGGGGCCAGTGGAGCAAAGCCCCCCCATCCCCTGGGGGCTGGGGCCAGCCTGATGCTCCAGCAAGGCTTTTCATCTGCCTCTGCGATGTCAGCAGAGCACAAAGGCAGGGGAGAGGTGAACCCCTCTGTTAATACACGTGTTTTAAATAACTGGTATTTTTATTTCTTCCCTTCGGTGCGGTGGGTTTGGCACGCATCTTTGTTTGCACAATTGTCCTGCCTATATGTTCTGTTGCCCAAGTAAGGAGAAAAAGATCCTGTGCGTGATCTGGAGGTGTGCTTTGCTGGTTCTGACATGAAATTATTAATCAAGAAACAACACTGAAGAGACAAAAAAACCCCTCCTACCCTTGAACCCCTTCAGATCCCTTTATTGTCCTGGAAGTTGTTGCACTTGGACTGGCTTTTCGCTTTCTCCTCTCAGAGAGTCTGGCTCCAGAAATGGTCCCCAGATTCCTCAGCTACGTCCTACTGAGGGAAAACATTTGTTGAAGTTTTGAGATTATTGGGGAAATACATATTTCTGCTTCTTTTCCAAACTCCACCGACATCTTTTCTAAGCCAGCCCTGCGTGTCAGCATGGGGGCAGGAGAGGCATCCTCTTGCTCTCCTCTCGAAGTCGCTGCATTCTGTGTGAATTTCAAGTACCCAGAAATGCCACGGAGAGGGATTCCTACCGTCACCGTGTGGTTCATTAGTGGGCAATAGCGGTGGGTATGCGTGTAGTTTATTTTCCTCCATAGAGCTGCACTTCAGCTCACTCACGCCTCTGAAGAAACAGGAGGTATGGACACACGCATCCAGCTCCTCAGATAACTGCGTTTCGGATGACCTTTGCCGAGGCAGCATCAATGCCTTGGTGCTGCGCGGGAGGAAGCAGAAGTGCGGGGGCTATGGAAAGCAAGCAGGTCAAGGAAGGAGAAAAGGTCTGGCATAAAGCTCCCCTCGCCTTGTCGGCACACACGACTGCGACTGAACTGCGGGTACGCACATGGGGTTGGGCCGTGTCCTTGACTGGAGCATCCCTCATCATACCTTCCCCATGATCGTGTGAGCTGGCAAGGCTGGCTGCCTGGCATTGCCTGTGAGCACCGTATGTGCCCAGCGCTCACCTCCTGCCTCCCAGCACCCCGACCCAGGGTTAGGGTACTTGGCACCCCCAGGGAAGAACCCTTGCCAGCACAGGGTGCAGTGTTTTAAAACAGCAGCAGGTTGCTTGCTCCAGTCATTCCTACTTCAGGCTCTGCTCTGTGCATACACTTGTGTGTATGTGCCTGTGTGTGTGCAGGTGTGTGTGCGCGTATGTGCATGGGTGTGCACAGGTGTGTATGTGCATGTGTGCAGGTGTGTACATGTGTGTGCAGGTGTGCGTGCATGTATGTGTGCAGGTGTGTGTGTGTGCATGTGTGCACAGGTGTGTGTGTATGTGCATGTGTGTGCACAGGTGTGTGTGCGCAGGTGTGTATGTTCATGTGCGTGCAGGTGTGTGTGTGCAGGTGTGCAGGTGTGTATATATGTGTGCAGGTGTGTGTAGGTGCATGTGTGCAGATGTGTGCGTGCAGGTGCGTGCAGGTGTGTGCAGGTGTGTATATGTGCATGTGCACAGGTGTGTGCAGGTGTGTGTCCGCATGTGTGCACAGGTGTGTATGTGCATGTGTGTGCACAGGTGCGTGTGCACACGTGTGTATGTTCATGTGCGTGCAGGTGTGTGCAGGTGTGTGTCCGCATGTGTGCGCAGGTGTGTATGTGCATGTGCGCAGGTGTGTATGTGCGTGTGTGGATGTGGGGAGCTCTCCCTTGGCAGCACAATGGAACAGCAAAGTGTGAAACGCTCCCGTTCTGGCTCGGTGGATAAATTGTCTACAAAGGGCTCTTCAACCTGAACGCACACCGCAAAGGCGCACGGCACTTCTCCGGGCGAACAATGGCTGGGGCTGAGTCACAGTGCTGCTGAGAAGCATCCCACCGCTGCCTGTCAAGGGAAGGGGGCTTGTGTTTTACCTCTGAGACAGCTTTTATTAATGAATTCCCGAGATCACTGTGGGATCAGGGGCACAGGCAAGAAGAGGAAAGGGAGACTAGGGATGAAACGCTCAGGCTCTGCGTCTGTGGGTCAGTCACAATGCTCACAGCAATAAGCAGATCTACATGTAATGCTGGTCCCTTTCCAGTTTCCATCCCAAAAGCTGGGGCTGGGACCACGGGGAGAGGGCACAGGCAGGTGCCCGGTGAAAGGACCGGGCAATCTGTTTCACATGAAGAAGAAGAAATACCTTATAGCACCTCATAAAACTCACTCTGCTGTGGCTCTCACTCTGCTGGCAGCTTCTCAGTTGGTAACTACTAAGAGCTTGAGTTTAGACGTGGCCTTTAGCTTCATATGTCCTTGAAGCTTCGGCTGCTAGAGGTTGGCAGGTTGCAGTGGGGAAAGCATTGCTCTGTGCTCACTGTTTCTGATATTTTCTTTCTAGGCATCCATCCCCAGCCACTGCTGGAGAGGAGATACTGGAGCTTTGGATGAAATCCCACAAATTTTCATGGAAGCAGAACGGCAGGAAGGCAAACAGGAAAGAAGAGGAGTAATATACTATTCTCAGGGGCACTGGTTGCATTTCTCTGCTTGCTTTGCTGTGTTGTTTCCTTTTCCTCCAGCCACATACTACAGGATTATGGCAAATGAATTAAGGGATTAAATCATAAGGGAGAATTAGGATCCTGCTGATTTAGAAGCAGAAGCCCAGATGGGCTTATTTAACTCTAGATGATGCAGGAGCATCTTGGGTAGTGCTGTGGATGTAGGTCACAGGATAATTTAGGCTGGAAGGAACCTCTGAAAGTCTCTGGTCCAACAACCCTCAAAGCAGAGCCAACTTAGATCAGGTTGCCCAGGGCTTTGTCCAGCCAAGTTTTGAATGTCTCCAAGGATGGAGATTCCCCCACCTCTCTGGTCCCCTGTGTTTAACCATCCTCAGGGTGAACTTTTCCCCTAATATCTAATCAAAGCTTTCCCTCCTGCAACTCGTGTTCACTGCCTCTCCTATCACTGTGCACCTTGGGTGGATGTCTATGTGCATCAGGGGCCTATTCAGGCCCTGTTGTACCTGCCTTGTAAGCCAGATTGTTGGGCACAAGCTTCAGAGACAGTGCCAGCTTAGACAGCAGGTTCTGGGCCTCCCAAGCCCCTTGGACTCTTCCCATATGAGCAGGCCTGGATGGGAGGTCTCACCTCTTCATGGTGTATCAGTACTGCTGTTGAATCGGTCTCACCTGTATAAGGACAGGGTGAGGATTTGCTATTGCTATGACTGGGGACACCCCAAGCAATGTCCAAAGATTGCTCCCGCAACTTATTTCCAGGGTCATCCAGGTGATGGAGGGTCTGGGGAAAAAGGACATAAAGTGACCTTTGGTCTGCTGCATCCACCTGGGGAAACAAAGGCATGGATAAAAAAAGATCACCTGCCCACCTTCATTGCTGGTGACTGAGCCAAGCAATTCCTTCTCCCCAGTGCCCTGAGCACTCCTCCGCGCTGCCTGAGGTCACATAGCATCAGGCTTACAGGCGAGCAGACCTCTTCCAGTGTATTTTGGCAGCTGGGACTCATCTCAGTGAAACACTGAGCTGTGACATATTTGGCTGCGCCTTGGAAAAGAGAAGAGAAGGGAAAAGAGAAGAGAAGAAAAGAGAAGAAAAGAAAAAAAGAGAAGAAAAGAGAAGAGAAAAGAAGAGAGAAGAGAGGAGAAGAGAGGAGAAGAGAGGAGAAGAGAGGAGAAGAGAGGAGAAAAGAAAAGAAAAGAAAAGAAAAGAAAAGAAAAGAAAAGAAAAGAAAAGAAAAGAAAAGAAAAGAAAAGAAAAGAAAAGAAAAGAAAAGAAAAGAAAAGAAAAGAAAAGAAAAGAAAAGAAAAGAAAAGAAAAGAAAAGAAAAGAAAAGAAAAGAAAAGAAAAGAAAAGAAAAGAAAAGAAAAGAAAAGAAAAGAAAAGAAAAGAAAAGAAAAGAAAAGAAAAGAAAAGAAAAGAAAAGAAAAGAAAAGAAAAGAAAAGAAAAGAAAGAAAAGAAAAAGAAAAGAAAAGAAAAGAAAAGAAAAGAAAAGAAAAGAAGAGAAGTTGTCTACAACATCCCAGCTTGTCTCCGCCACTGGGAATGGATGTGAGGGCTTGTTCAGGGAGGAGGTAGCCTGGCCCTGCGCAGCGAGGACGGGAGAGGCAGAAGTCATGAAACAGGGCTCTGTTTGGACCCAAATTCGATTTGCATGGTTAAAACTTGTTGATCCCATACAAGGTTTTCCTGGCTGGGAGCTGAACTTGGTTCCACAGCCAAGCTTTTTTCTTTTCCAGAGTGTTCAGCATAAATCAGACTTTCACAGCCGCCTTTGAGTAGAAGGAGCAAGAAATCACGTTTTGTCTCCTGTCCAGGAGCTCTGGGAGAAAGGAGCTGTCAGGAACCAGCCCAGATCCTCTGACATGTGCTCTGTGCATCCTCGCTGCCTGGCTCTGCCTTCCCCCATCTGGTGTAACGGCTCCGTCAGCTCCTGTGTGCTGCCTTCCCCAGCCGAGATCCCAGCCAGGCTGCTGACATCCAAGTCAAGCTGTGCCCCAAGCAAGGGACACCGTGACTCCTTTTGGGCTGGGCTATGCTCTCCCCGGCCTCTCACCCAAGCCATTAAGCGGGTTTTAACACAGATCCAGATCTGGCGTAGTGCCCTGCTGAGACCACTTGCACCCCCCTGGTGTCATATCTTTAGGCTCTTTTTTTCTCTAGAGGATTGGCCCAGAGAAGTCACATGCTTTTCTAACTCTCTTGTCATTAGTCTCACTAGGAACTATTTTCCTAATATCTAGGTAGAATTTCCCTTGCTGTGCCTTGTGTCCATTGCCTCCCATGCACCTCCAGGAAGAGTGCGGCTCTGTTTTCTCTATAATCACCTGTTAGCCTTCTCCTCTGGCCAAAGGAGCCCAGCTCCCTCCACATCTTCCAATTTGGCAAAGTACCGCTAATTTTTCTTGTACTGCTTCATAAACATTTGAGGGGGAGGGGCGAGTTCCCACAAACACTACATGGGGCATCTACGCCCAAGCATGTCCTGACAAGTAGGGAGGGCTTTGGTGGAGGTGGCTGCAGAAATCCTACCAGCACCTGCAGTGGAGTTGAGCAAGGGACCAAAAGCTCCATTGCTGATCCTGTTGAAACAGAGGGTTAAAGCCTTTCTGCTGGAGCCATTCCCTGCTAGTGAGGTCCATACAGTCCATTAAAATTAGGGATCTTATTATGGGCTATATAAAAAAGGTAAAGAGGAAATGAAAACCTTATGAAGGGTTTCTTATGTGTGCAGATGGCAAGGGCACCTGAGGCCAAGAAAGCCTCTCCAACAGGCTTTTTCCAAACAGAACTGCTCACTTCGCAGGTTTTCCCCTCTTTCAAAAAGAGATAAATAGACGCAGGACTATCTTTTCTGCACAGCTCACCCCTGCTGACCAGCCACACTGTCCTCGGGATGGAGAAACAGACCCTAAACATGTGTCATGCTCTCAGGAGCATGGTATCCTCTCCTCCTAGCACCAAATGCAGCCTTCAAATGCACTTTTAGGTCATACTCAGGTCTCTCCTGAACCCAAAGGAGCTGACTGTGTTTGCTGCTTCCCCCAGCCTAGTTGAGGACTGGTGAGACATCCTCTGTCCATCAGCACAGAAGAGCTGTTTGAGTCTATTGAGTAGCATCAGGAGCACTGAGAGCCAGTCAAAACTGGGAATTCAGCCTTCCAGCAGTGGCACTGGGCCACTGCTCTGCCTCTGTTTCAAGACAGCAGAAACCAGGGACCTCAAATATGGGAAGGGCTTTGGGTCTGTAGCAGAACCAGAGACCCTAGGAGTCTGGGCATCCATTTGTTCACTATGACCACCTGCTGGGACATTTTTTCCCTTTCTCCTCCTGTCCCCACCCACCGTGTGTGGCTGTGCTGTCACGTGGTGGTGCCAGAGTGAGACAAGGTCCCAGAGCTGCTCTCTGAACCTGTAGGATCCTGTGGGACCCCTTGGCCACCCCCTTGGGTCCTGTCGGGGCCCCAGAGTGACTGCAGAGGCTGGAAGTGTCCCTGGTGCATGATCCTTGTTTATACAGAGCATAATCTCTCTATAGAGCTGTAGGGGAGTGATTTTTGTCTCCCTGTGCAGGCTAAGAGCTGAAGCACGGTGACATGACCAAGGTTGTTCAGACAACCTGTGGCAGAGCAAGAACAGCAGCCCAGCGGTGTCATGCGCCCTCGTCACTGCTGCTCATCACTGCTGCTCGGTGGCAGATCTCTGGCCTCCTTGTCCCCCCAGCCGCCCAGCCAGCCAGCCCACTCCTTTCTCCTTCAGACTCTTAAAGACTTGCAAAGGCTCGAGCGTGGTTTCATTTTCACTAATAAATCCCTGCTTGCACTTGAAGCTGCTGTGCCTTTTAAAACATTATGCGTGGCTTTGATTACACTCCTGATGAAAGCAGGCATGGCCCTATTAGTTTTCATGGCAAACAACACTGCCACGTCCTGCTATCCTTTACGTGCTCAGTAACCCAAGTTTCACAGGAAAGGGAGGGGGCAAAAAAGGCATCTTGTAAAGGCAGTGTCTGTCTCCACCTTCACTTCAGACTGAGGACATTACACACTTGAAATCCCCCCCTAGAAACAGCTTTGATTGGTCCATGCCATTTTTTTTTTTTAAATTTTTTTTCAAAGTTATTTTTTTAATTGCTACCAACAATTAACTCCTGCTCTGCAACTCCAACCTGACGCCTCTGCCTCTCCAGCACCTGCAAGCGCTGCACTAAGGGGCGGTAATGGGCATGGGGTGGGGAGAAGGGAAACAGGAGCTACTTAAGCAGTGATGAGCAATAGCTGCTCTGTAGTGGTGTCTCCTCTTCATGGCTCAGAGAGGAGGTGGATTTTTGGGGAGCAGAGTTAAATGCCCACAGCCAACCAGTGTGAAAAACCCACCCCATAGTAACAGGTTTGCTCTGGGTCGTTAATCCAGATATGCAGAGGGGTAAACTGAGGCACAAAGGTGTTAATGCTCTCTAGTGGGAGAGGGTGGGGGGAGAAGGGGAACTCTGTTCCAAAATTGCCGAGGTGAGCTTTTCAAACTCCTTCAGCTTTGTTCTGTCCCTTAGGCAATGCTTGGAAAGCTCTTGGGAAATGGGTTTACAGTGAAAGCAGAGAGACTGTGCTCAAACAGGCCTGCAGGCACCAAGCACAGGGACGCAGGACCATGGCAGTGAGGAAAGGAAAGGAAATAGAAATAGGGAAATAGAGGGAAAGGGGAAGGGAAGGGAAGGAAAGGAAAGGAAAGGAAAGGAAAGGAAAAAGAGAGACAGAAGGAGAAAGTTAGTAAGAAAAAGAAAAAGAGAAAGATAAAAAGAGAAAAAAGGCGAGGATAAGGAGGAAAGAGGGAAGAAGGTGAGGAAGCCCCTCTGCAGCCCCCAGGGTGGCCGGGTGCCGGAGGGCCGTGCTCCCCCTCTCCCGTGCTGGATCGCGCACCACCACCTGTGTCCAAGCACATTTCCTCCCCTGCAGAAGGGCTGGCTGCCCTGCCCGCCCCAAAAACAAGCCCAGCAGCTGTTGGAGGGGCTGGGCGGCCGAGCTGCTGCTGCAGCCGGGAAAGCACTGGCTTAGCTTGGCTGCTGCCCGCGTGGAGCAGCCGGGAGAGGGTGGCAGGTGAGCGAAGCACAGTCATTACTACAACAGATGGAAGAGGCATGACATTACATGGCAGGGCTATTATTTACTGAGTGCTCGTGTTTGTCATGGCTGAAGATGACATCTTATTAAGGAGTCATGACACTGTGGGATGTTTTTAAGCCTGGGGGCCAAGAAGGCTAATGAACAGGGATAGCTCTAGGAATAGATGGAGGGTAGTGCTGCTTTCAGGTTGCAGGCAAAGCTGACTGATGTTTCACCAACTCGATTTCTGGGAGATTTTTAGGCTGTGGCACATCTTCCTCCTGCTGTTTAGGGATGGACACTCCTTGCCGTGGCCTGATCGTTCTGGCTCAGGTGGAAATGGCTGTCTCGAGAGATCCTGCTGCAAGGGAGCAAAGCCTGAGCTGTGTTACTAAAAAGCTCCTACCTGTACCTAATACCTGTGGACAGACAAACACCGGTACTCCTGCAAACAAGGGCATGTGGCAGGGAAAGGCTTTTGGACAGGTTTCCCCAAATCCCACCTTGCAGGGTGTTTGGAGGAGGACTCTCAGGCAGCATGCGCAATAGCTAGGGGAGCGCGGGAAGCAGGAACCTGCTGTCGGTATGGCACTATCACCCCTCTGTGATGCTTGTCAGGACAGCTAGACCAAAAGTGGGGCTGCCTGGCCCATTTTGTCCCCCCTCAGCCTGCCCCAGCACCGTCTCTGCAAGCCTTTCCCTCCTTTGCCTGAAATAAGAGCCGTCTCCCTGCAGCTCCCATGTGCCGGCTCCTTATCACTGACCCACTCTGTCAGAGCGGGTGCTTGACTAATGTTCCCTTGTAAAATGTTGTGTTAAGCACATTCCAGCTGCTGACATTAAATACTTGGGCCAGGGCAGCGCTCACCCTCCGGCGGACAGAGCGCTGAGCCAGCCCCAGCCACACGCCTGATGCTGCCGCAGCCAAAACATTTGCTCTTTTCTGCCCCATCTCCACCTCTCCCCTGCCCTCCCTCTGGCGCAGGCAGCACAGGCAGGGGGGGAAGGAGGCACTGGGCAGGACCATGGCTATCTGGCAGATGAAATAATAATTACCCCAGCTGCCTCCCAGCCTCCCTTGCATTCCTCTGTGCTAACAGCTCGGCTTATTTTGTTTTCATCCACAAATATTGACTCGCTGGGTTCTTTTCACCTCGTGCCTATTAAAAAGGCATTGCTCATAGTATTGTTATTGAATTTGTTCTGCAGCTGCGAGAAACATCCAGCGGCTTCAAGGAATTCACCCGTGCCACTAGCGTGGGCCCTGAGGGCTGCGTGCCCCCAATACCCTCCGAAACTGCTTTGTCTGCTGCTGTCCAAGGGACAGGACCTGGGGCTGGCTCAGCAAGAATGTTGCCCAGCCTTTCCACCAAGGGGGAGATCAGGGTGGTGCTGGGGATGGGGCTGCAGAGATGTGGTCTGCTCCTGGGGGATGCTGCTTTGCTGCTCTGTGCCTCAGTTTCCCGGTTCAGCCTTGTGATTCCTGACTGTTTTTGTAATGCACTGTGAGTGTTAATGAAAAGATGTGCGATTTAAGCCTGACCATTTGGTGCTGCAACTTGTCCTTCTATACTCAGTTCAGCTTGAAAATGTGGGAGTTGTTTTCAGATGCCTTAACCTGGCTGGGGCAATAACCAGAAAAATAAACCCCTTCATTTCGCACTGAGATGAATTATCTGGGTAATTCATGAGCATGACAGCAATGCTCACACAGCTCCAGCCCTGAGAGCTTGGGATCACGGTTGTGGTGGTTAATGCCTCTCCCCCATGTAAGGGGGGGTTTGCTGTGCAGGAGAGGGATGTACAATCTCTCCCCGCTTTCCCCACAGTGTTCAGCTGAGGGCAGGGGCAGCGGGACAGCAGCCTGCTCGTGAGGAAACCCCCTGTTTCGGCAGCTGTGCTCAGCTTTGGCATCTCTCCCAGAATAAAATTGACCGGCACCACATTCCCGGGGAGTCCCCTCTGTCCCCAGCCATCCCTCCGGGGGAAATCCCAGGGATGCTGGCGCTCTGTCAGCAGATCTTACCTGATTCCCAAATCCTGAGACAAGATAGGAATAGGGAATTGGGACAGGTAAGAAAGGCTGCAGCGTCAGCAGGCACTCGGAGGTGGGTGTCCTCATCAAAACCTCTCCCTGTCCCTTGTGAAGTGTCCTGATGCCCCCTTCTCCATCGGAGGTCTGACAGATGCTCGTACCTGCGGGTGGGCTGGGGTGTGGGCAGCCTTGGGATCCTCTATGTACACATCTCCTACGGCCTCTGAGGGAGGGAAGGAGCCAGGGCAGCAGCTCGCAAGGGTGAGGTCTGCGCATATAACCAGTGACAGGGCTGCCTCTCCTCCTCCCAGCTGGTCTTGCTCATCCACAGGACAACTGAGCAACAAATCTGTGGAAAAGGACTTTCCATGCTGATCTGATGGACCAACCCTTCCCATCCTCCAGCAGGACCCTTGGCTCAACTTCTTCACCCCTCTAACTCCCTCCAGATGCCTTTTAACCTCCCCCAGCATGAAAAGAGCTAGCAGGTGAAATCCCAGCTCGCTGCCCCTGCCTACACTCCAGTGATAACCACCAGCCAAGTGCAGGGGCTGCTGCTGTCACTGGCATTGGGCAGAGCTGTGACCCCCTCGGTGGAGGGATGCTCTTTCAGGGGAAGGGATGACTTGTGTGCTGGCTGCCTGCCCCCTGCCTCATGAGGCCATACCTGCTGCTGCTGTGCCGCGCTCAACCCTTCCACTCGTGGGGCTGCTGCCCTGGGGACCTCCCCGGCCCTGGTGTGGGGACAGCAAAGTGTGGCAAGAGATGTTTAATCCTGCAGAGACACCTGGGAGCATCACCAAGGCTCGGGACATGGTGGCAGGTTCAGCTGAGGAAGAGGTCCACGCAGAGGGGGTTGGCCGGGGTGCATTGGGGACGGCCGCAAAGTCACGGGGGCAGATGTGATCCCAAGCACCCTGTGTCAAGCAGGTTGTCTCCTGCCTCGTGACCGGCCTGCAAAAAATAACGCGGCTCCCTCCTTCTCCCAGTGCCTGTTCGCAGAAAGCAAATGTCAGCGTTGCCATGCCTGAGTGTTTATTTTGGCAACGGATGGGGGCCTGGCCAGCAGGCACGGGGAGACATGGCAAGGTGGATTAGCCGCCCGGCGGCAGCTCCTGCCATGCCTTGTTGAGGATGCGGCGTGGCTGGCGGGAACTTTTCTCCTGGCTTCAGGCTGCACCACATCGGTGCATTGTAAATACTGACCGGCTGCAGGGAGGGCATCACTCCGGGCCCTGGCGGCAGCCAAAACCTGGAGGAGAACAAGGACCTGCCTGTGGGTACCACTGAACCCTGGGGTGACCCATCAGGGCACTGGCTCCAGCTGATGCCTGGGGTCATTCCAGGCATAGCAGCCCCACGTCCCTGCCACGGGGGCGGGAAGAAAATCACCGCCAAGGAGTGTCCTGTTCTCCTGACCTTTGCTCTCCAAATATTTAGGATCCCACAGTGCACAGTCACAGGCCTTGTTCGGCTTCAGCACGATGCCATTTGCCTCATGTCTCAGCTGTCCTCAGTAATTCATCTCCGGCTTGCTGAGCCGGGGACAGAGAAGACGCACTTGCACCACTGGGCTCCCTGGGGTTAGTGCAGGGCCTGGAGCACCCTCCCAAGCCCTGTCTGTCCCTTGTTCCCTGGGCCCCCCTTGTCACAGGACCATGGTCAGCAGGGATGGAGGGGAGCATCCATGGGAAGGCAGTCCCCT